CCCTAAAGCAGGTGTTTGTCAATCCTTCGAGTGCAACAAAATGGCTGTCTACAGTCTGCTGTTCCTCCTCACAAGAAATGTGAATGAACAAACTTTTGATCAAAAACTAAAAGAATATTGGAAACTATTCATATGGACCAACATGATGATGAAATTTAGTGAAAATTTTTACAAAATGTGTAAATATTTACACTGAATGTATGATAAAAATAATCAAAGTACATGAAAAATTTTGCTGACAACATTGTTTTCTACATACTGATGGTTTATGCAAACAGTTGTAATAGCGCCCTCACACTACTGTAAATAAGTCAACTGGAGATTGGAGTTTTTACTTTGCCTGTATCTTACATGAAAGTAAAGGTGTATGAGAGAAAAAATTCTGCTCTCCATTTTAAAATTTCTGTTAATCTTCAAACTTGAAAATCAGACACTATTAAATATCATCCAAGTTAAATTTTGGTGTAACACGCATTTTTAATTTTCACGATATTACCAAAGTTTAACTAAAATTAAACATTTGTAAAACATTTAAATGCAGAGAATAAAGACATTTGCACTGCCTAATACGAGAACAAGATGTCAGTAAATATTCTCCAAATAAATTGTTTCTATTATTTAGTATAAATCATTTTTTTCCTAAAAATTCTGCTTAAATGTATTGCTTTACAATTTGGGAATTTGTTATGCTACATTGTATTCATGTAATATTATTCTATAAGGGACCTTGAGATTAATACAGTACATAAAAAATGTTTCTATACAAGTATTAATACATACTCCAGTAATATAATTTATATCTTGACAGATGTGATGAATATTGAATAACAGGTTTAGATTGTATCCACCCTGAATTTGTATTCATTATTTAATGCCTACTGTCAACAGTATTCTCAACGGGTTAGGTTATATAGAGATATATTCTTAGTTGCCATGGTAATACTGTTACCCAAGCCTGGACAGATTATAATGCAATCATGATGATTACTGCAAAGTTGGTATTTTTGCATGATAGCACCCTGTATGTGTGGCCTTACATACAATCCGTTTACAATTTGGAAGAATACCTGGTGTCCCAATATTTCAACTTCTGTATATGGATATGCGCCACTGCTATGACTCCTGTTTTC